GCTGTCAGGGTCACCGCAGTGGGCTCAGAGTTCTGTTTGAGAAATGCTCCTGCCCAGAAAAAATATTTACACAACCAAGAGTGGGCTACACTGCACTGCAGCGTTCCACCTGTTCTGCCAGGAGTCTCTGGCTCTGTCTGACTGACCAGGGCTTATCAGCGGCCTTTGAACCTCATTTAAGATCAGCATGGAGACAAAACCTGGAGCCAAATAACAGACCAGGGTAACAAGATTTTTTGAAATGTGTTATATTAATTTAAAATGCCAACCAAATTTTAATGCAGTTCAATATGGATTTTAAATAAGTAAATAATGTATCTGTATTAAAAAAACGTTATTTAGGCTACAAAAGAGAAATAACAAGAGAAGGAAAAAACTACAATAAACTAGCAAAGGCAAGTATTACTAAAAATAAAGATGGTGATGGCAGGCATAAAAATTCACTCCTTAATGCTCATCTATTTACTTCATTTGACTGTTAGACTCAGGACAGTAACATAATTCTTGCCCCAATGTCACAGCATCCAACAGGGCCTGGCATGATGGCCTGTACAGGTGTTTATTCGATCAGGAGCTCATGACAAAGATAGCAGAACAAGAAGGACAGTGATTTCCTCTGACATCTGATCAGCACTTTATATCTTAAAAAGTATTTTTATGGCCATTGTTTTATTTTTTTTCCCACAACACTCTTGTGAAGAAGGTAGGACAGGTATTATTATCTCTATCTGACAAATAAGCTGCTTGTTATTTGGCTTCTAAAGAGATTCTAAGCTCTAATTAAAGTTTCACAACATTAATAAGTGTTTAGAGAAGTATCAGTCAGTACATCCAGTTTACAACATGATTCAGAAACTTGGGAAAAAGCAGACTGTCCCCCATCCCTAAACTCCACTGAAATATAGTAATTTTCCTAACCAACAACCCCCATTTACTTCCTAGTTAGCTGTAAGAAAAGAGAATGGTCATGATCTATTTATGGTGCTCATACCTCATTACATTAATTAACAAATGCCATTAGGGTAATCTTAGTAATAGCATAATAAAATTTTAAATTAATAAAATTAAAACTGTACCAGTCAAGGGAAGCCAGATGAAAGATCTGGTGAAAAAGAGATAAAACAGGTAAGGTTACCAGGCTTAGCAAATAAAAATAGAGGACACCCAGTTATATTTGAATTTCAGATAGAAAATAATAAATACTTTTAAAGTATAAATACTTTATTTTATCTGGACACTCTGTCCACAGGAGACCCCGACTTCTACTAGAAAGTAAGATCCTTAAAGGTTGGGATTTTTGCCCATTTAGTTCACTGCTGTATCTCCAGTGTTCAGAACAATGCCTGGCACATTGTAGGCTCAATACCTGGCTCAATAATATTTTCCATGTACTAGTAAAGTTTATTTCTTAAGCTAGGTGGTACGTACACGGGTGCTTTATATAACCTTTATGCATTTTGTATGTCTGAAATATATCAGAATGAATTTTACAGATTACAGTGTTAACTGCTCTTAGTTTCAAATTAACACCTTTTACTACCCAATCTAATTGAAGGTCTCAAGTCAGAGTATAAAAGAGTTTGTGACGCGTCCCTTACCCAGTTGAAACGCTAAACAGGGACATGATTGTGGGGTGACCAGTCCTCAGATGGATTTTGCAGCCAGTGGCACAGTGTGGCTGACGGTGCTTTTCCTGGACACTCTTCCTTTCTTCTGGTTTATTCCTAAGACCATGACCAGTGTGCCCTGACTCCACCTTCACAGGAGATTTCTCCTCATGGTCTATGGAGCCAAAAGCAGTGATTTTTCAGGGGAAGGGGTTGGTTGGAGGACTCCTTTGGGGCATAACACATCAAAGGAAGTATAGTTTTAAAAGGCATATTTACTATTATACTTTATCTTTGGAAAATGAAAAAACATATAATTTACTCCATATTTAAAATTTCTACTAAACTACCCAAATAATTTATCTTTTTTCTCATGGGAAAGATCAGTAACGAGAGCTCATTAGCTGCCAAAAAGCCCTCTTTATCCCATCTTAATCTGGGGCCTGTAAATGTTCTTTATGCTAATTACATTTCAAAATGGCATATTTATAACCAGCATACACTTTTGCAGTGCTTGAGTTTGGCTTAAAAAAAAAAAAGGGCAGATATTTCTTTTGTAATATGAAGTGGGAAAAGAAAAGATAAAATAATGACTTTTATAAGCATAACTTTAACTATGCAAAATAAATAAAATTTAAAGACTATGGAAGAGTGTTTATTTCTGGGTGGTAGTATAATTCTTGCTTTATTTTTTTACACAGTACTACATGCATATATTTAAATATTTTTTTCTATAATGAGCATCATATATACATACGTAATGTATACATGCTTAGATATCTCTGTGTGTGTGTGTGTGCATGTAATTAAAGTAATTGTGTATGACTGAGCCTCTAATCAGATTTGCTTACAGGTTCACAGAGGTCATGGTGATGAGAATAAACAAAAACCTTCCCTTGCCTGGTCTAGATACCTGTCTGCATTAACAATCCATACCCTGAAACCCAGAAGTCACAAATTAGAGAGCTTTCCTTTGCATTCAAACTCGGTGCCCAGACCTGTTAGGTAAAGCACCAGCTAGGGAGGAAACATTATAGCTAGATCATCAATCAGACTTTAGGAACAAAGAGAAAAGGGACACTCTAGGACAAGTCAAGTTGGAAAAGGAATTAGGAATAAATGGGGTAGGTATCTAAACCCTTGAAGATAGGATTCTGCCAGAGACTCCAAAGCGTCAAGGTCTGAGACCCCAATTCCAAGTCCCGCTTCCTCTGAGTGTGTGGATATCAATGAGGACAAGGGAAGGGAGGGAGATCACAGTATCACAGGGGCCTGAAGCCTACCCACAGCTCTAGAGATTTTCAAAATGTTTCAATCTCCTCTCTTATCAAATATTTTACTAGAGAAACAAGTAATAATCCTAACTTTTCTTACGTCACTTAGGTAACCTGCTGAGCCTCTCTGTGATAGCAGTAATGGTGATGATGATAGCATAATCTCAAAGAATTACTGTGAGGATAATACAGGCAAAGCATCTTGGGCATCAAAGCACAGAGTAAGTGTTCATTAAATGTTAAATATTATCATTCATATTTTATTATAGACAGCAGGATCAAAAATAGCCTCAAGAAGTTGGGCAGTAAAAAGGACAAGCAAATAAACAGACAAAAGAAACAACTGAGTTTATTTGGGTAAGTTATCACCTTCTTGCCAGAGGATACTTGCAGCTGGGATTACCGGAACAAAAAGTCACATACAAGGCCTGGGTATGACCAGTTCAGTGGTCTCTTCCTCCCACTTGTTGCCTTTAAAAGTGCTTTCTTACAGCTTATAATACTGCATTTATTTTATAAATTTCTCCCAAAATTTACATAAGCAATATTGGAATAGATATGTAAACTATATAGGTCTCTCATATAACCAAAGTAGGAATTAGGATACAAGTCTTTATGATTCATAATATGGTTTGTTGCATATTCCTGCCTGGGAAAGTCACTTTAGAGACTATATCCTTCTCTTCCCCTCTTCCTTTCCCTTTGCTTCGCAACATCAAACACTACTGCTTGAGAGTAAATACTAGGAATTGGTTTTAACCATCCAAATTCATTTCTTCTCTCATCGTTCAATCCCTCATAAAGAAGTGCAAGAGAAGTATACATTATACTTGCATCCGAATTCAGGATTTTACATGTGTCTTTCAACACTTCAACAGAATTGACTTAAGTAATAATTTACCCAACTGATTTCTGTACATAAAGACAATAAAGATAAAAGCAAATTCACTAAATGATTAAAAAAATAAAACAAACACAACTTCAGTGGATAGAAAAGTACTTTGAAATCATAGTTATCTAGGCAACTTACCGTCGTCTATTTGTTTATTAAAAGAAAAATTAGAAATTAGTTAGAGTAAAGCCATATATTTACACACACACACACACACACACACACACACACACTCCAGAACACGGAGTTACCTGAGGCACAGCCATTAACCTTTGTGGTGTGAGCCATGCTGGCTTGAATCCAATGACAGATCCAAAAAGGAGTGAGGAATCATGCAAATTTTATGCATGAAGTTCCCAAATGCCTTCAACCTGAAACAATAAAGAGAGCCCCATTAAAATGGATCATTTAAAAATATACACAATACTAAATCTTAGACTTCTGTTTACAAAGATGACTGCTAATGGAGAGAGCAGATCTCAATCAGGGAGAGACAGCCTGTAGATCAAGGTGGTGGCTGCCCTGGACTCAGCCATTTGGTGTTTCAGGAATAACAGGTTCACAGATGCACCTGTGGACAGATACTGAAAGCAAGTCTCTAGATATAAAACTCTTATGGGAGATAAAACTTTTCAGAAATAACTTTTTAGGAAAGTGGTCTTCAGATATAAATGACCTCCTAACATGTATCATTCTGTAGCATTTCACGAATTACTTTTGGTTTTTAAGCTTATCCTCCTTCTCAGATGTTGGTTCATAGTTTCATTCACTCAACTGCAATTTGAAAGTAGTCGTTGCACCAAATGTTCATATTTTTAAAAAAGATTAATTTCATATGAATTCTTTTGAGATATCACAAGTCTTTCACCTACCCAGTCATCTAAAACACAAATCTAATCCAGTTAATCCCCCTCATAAAAAAAAAAAAAATCTTCAGCATCTCCCATTGTTCTGTTGGATAAACTTCAAATGGCATAATTTTGAAACTTTAGGGTTCACGTTGGGCAACAAACTTCTTAATTTATCTTGGTCTTTATTTAAAAGTAACTGAGATTACTATAATATGATTTATGGTACGATCACAAAATTTAAAACAAATGGAAAACAAAAAAAGAAACAAGAAAAAGAACAGAAAAGAACATTGTTCCAACCTTTGCTTTTCCAAAAATGCCTTCTGAAAAATGCTGGCAAGGAAACCAATCCATGGTGCAGAAAGAAATATTCCATTTCCATTGTGTCCAAATTCTAACTCTCGATGCACAAAATCAGAAGAAATCGAGCTTAACAAATTCCAAGTTCAGAGTCAAGTGTTGACTTATGACCTCCCAACAGGAGACCACTAAAATAATAACATATCCATATATACTGGAATCTAATGCAGCCACTGAAATCATTTATAAGTTTTTAATAATACAGAAAATACTCAAAGTACACTGACAAAAAAGACTGTATTCTATCATAAAACCAATTTTGTTAAAAATATATGTACAAATTTAGACATTTACTTAAAACAATGAGAAATAAACATGCCCAAATGTTCACTGTGCTTGCCCCATAATTGCATTCGTAATGCAATTATGAATGATTTTAGCTCCTTTATTACTTTTGTAATAATAATTATTAAAAAGAAACATTAGATATTTCTTGTTGGCTTTGGTTTTATTTGCTTTAAAATTCATTGGAGAAAGAAAAAAGTATTTAAAAAATGCTATGCAAAAAGAAACTCTCAGGCCACATTATAAGAGGTCAGAAATATAAGTAAATAAAAAGGAAGGAAGAGGAAATGGCTGATCACTTTGATCATACAGGGTGTGAATTTCTTGCTGCTTAGCTAGTGAAATTTGCCTGTTTGAATGGATTTGCACCACAGTTCAAACCTAATACTGTGAAAGCAACTCAGTGCAAACTCTAAAGAATTGGGTTTTTGTAGGCTGCTTCTGACAGGCTTGCTCCCCTGCATGGCTTTTCCAGCTACACGGACCACTGCTCAGCTCACTGGCGGAGGGAGATCCGATTCTCGACCTTCCACTGGCAGCCTCCCAGCTCTTTGCTAGTCCCCAGTTTCCAACTGGCAGCGTACCAGGAAGGCAGGATGGCTCTAATCCCTCTGATTATGTGGCAATCACCTGACATTCTGCTGGAAACAGGCACTGGTTTGGGTTCACGGCATTGAACTTGGAGAGCAATAACCTCTGTGCACAGTCAGAGCTAGCTGAATCAAAGGCAGGATTTAGGGACAGAGTGGGCATTATCTTTAAGAAGAGGAATGCCTATACATGTTTGACAAATGTAGCTTTGTTAAAAAAAAAAAAAAAAAAAAAAAGAAAAGACTGGGCGGATTTAAGGAGAAGTGTAGAAATGAGGAGACCAAGGAAAGAAGCCCGGCTTCTGGAATTATTCAACTAATTATACTTACAAAATCTAACAACAACGGAAACCGAAGCGAAATCCCTATTTACTGGCCTCTTTCTAGCCTGGTTTGTTTGTACTCCTACTTCATAATGGCTTGGAACTACCACCATTTAAACTCTTGAGGGCAAGCAGAAGGCATGAAGAAACAAGCTGCATATATTATGGATGAAGTATGTGGCAAGGTATTTGCATGGAGATGCTCTCAGAATCTTCCTAGTCAAGCTTCATAAACTTTGGTCCAAGGTTTTCTCATGTTATTGAACCTCTTTCACCCAGCAGGAGATCTTTATCTTGGATTCAAATTGGTCTCTCCTGCCCTCCTACAAACTGAACAATAAAATCAAAGTAAGGGGAAATCTTAAAATTAGGAACTGCAAGCATACCAATGGGAAAATAACAAGACATGTCTGTCACTGGGAAATAATCCTAGAAGTGTTTGTGCAAAAACAACAGTTTTATATTGCCTATCGATTTTTCCTAGTTATTGTTCATGCCTGACAGGTGGCCTCAAATTGTGAGGACTCAGTCTTCTTAGTGACATGCAGATTCTTATGGCAGTGCACTGTATAAACCAGAAAAGGTTTGGCCATGATCCATTCTCTGTTACAGATCAATAAACTGCTTCTTTTCTCTCACAGAGAAGACTGCAAACCAGTAAATCTTAAGTGGTACAATGGTGGCTTAGTTCTGCTTACTAAGAAAAAGCACTTCTTCGAAAGGACTTAGGAAAACACATCAATTGAGAAAATAATTTGTCTTCTCTATTTATTTCAAGACGCTGATCTGCATTGAAGAACATGTTAGTAGCTTCCCAAGTACAGTGCAGAGAATAACACAGACATTGCAAGTATTAACCCCATAAATACTTTACATTCGCCTAATAAAAACAAATATGAAAAACAGCTCACTAGATCTTTTCTAAGAGCACATTGACAAGAACAAATAGATGAAACTGAGATTTAATATATACTCTAGGCTAGCACTATCAAACCAATCAAATGCCACTGTCCTGGTTAGGACCAAGATGACTGATGACGATGACAACACTGATGATAATGCTGATGTCAGCTAGTACTTACTGAGCTCTTACTACTTACTATTAGTTATTGAAATCTAAAATGCAATCTACCCTAAAGGTGCGCCATTATTTAAGTCATTGATTAAAAGACGGTATTGCTAATTAAATGGTGATAAGATGCTATTTTTTTGAAAAATTAATTTTAAGATGCATCCTCATTTCAGAAGTGTTAAAATGCGAAATATGTGCATCTTAGAATTGGCAAAATTATATTACATTCAAGGGACTTTTTAAAGCACCTAACAGTTATTGCCTTATTTAAACCTCAAAACAACCCTACAGAGTACTAAAATCCTCCCCATTTTATAGATAGGAAACTGAGGTATGGTGAGGTTTAGAACTTGCAGAGGTCACACAGCTAGTAAGTAACAGAGCTACATTCAGAGCTAAGCAAGTCAGTCCCAGAGCTCAAGCGCCAGCTCCTGTGATAATGTGACTGAGTGAGGGCACTACAGTTTTAACAAGAAATTACAAAGACAAGTGAGGTCTTTTTCAAGGTAGTCGGGAGGGATGTATATGCTTATTCCAAGGATGCTTTGCTCAAATCCCTTTTAGATAGAAACTTATGTTTCAAATTTTTATATAATATTGTTTTTAAAGCAATTGTACGTCCAACTTTATTCCTTGAGGTTACATGTTTAAGAGCTTGAAGAGATACTTATATGACACACAGGAAATGTCTCAGTACTTAACCATCTCACTCTTCTAGATACTACATGATATTTAGTCAGCTTGATTATCAACCTTTTCCCTTACATTCTCTTATGAATGTCATCTGACTTTCAAAAAATTAAGTACTTTTTCAACCGAAAAAATTTCCACCAATAAGGACAGGAGGAAGACTCTTAATGGAATCACAGAAGTTTCAAAAATGGATGGAATTAGGGCAGTGTGATTAGAATAAGAAACTTGCTGCTCAAAAGGACAATTATGACAGTGAAAACAACAATTTTGATGTGAAAGTTCTAGAATTTCTTTCACGACATGCAAAAAATAATTTGTTATCTCACAATCCTGATGTGGTCATTGTTACCACCTGAGGCTATTTCTATTTGACTATATGCATATTTTAATTACCTTAACATGTTTTAAAAAGACCTATGACATTTTAGAATTTGTACCAGCCACTATTTTGGAGATGTAAACTAAAGCACTGAGCCACTCCCAGGAGCTTACACCCTAGTGGTGGAAGCAAACAGAGACATAAGGAAAGGAGAAAGCCTAGAACAGCAGTGTATGAACAGTTGGATTCCAATCCACAGGCAGGTGGTCTTATTTTGCCCAAAAAGGGTGGAAGTGGCCAAAAAAAATGTATTCCTAAGAGACCGCTTGGCCTAAGTCATAAAGGATAAATGAGTGTTTTTCGGGATGAGAAAAATGAAAAGAGAATTCTAGGCAGAAGGAATAGCACGTGCAAAGGCAGAAGATGAGAAAGCGCATGCCAAATAGTAGTGCTGTGGCTACAGCACTGTGTGCTTCTATGAGAGCTTGGTGGTAAATAAAGTGAATTGCCCAGGAGAAAGATGACATCAGGGGACAGGTGCTAAAAAGAAATCTAAAGGAAGTAGATGCTACAAAAAACTAAAAAACACACATATGTACGAACACACAAATGTTTTACCCTAATCAAAAATGCAAAGCTCATTTATTTCTTTAAATAAGTTAATCTTTCAAACAGGCATTCGAAAGCCTGTATAATTTATTATACACCATCTATGATTGCCCACATATTTCTGTCAAGAATTTAATTAAAAGTAACTTAATTAAAAGCATGTTTAAGTACAAACTCTGGCCATGGTTCGTCATCAGATTATCTTCCGGTGATTTTGAATATTGGCTCCTACCACAGGAATTGTGGGCATAATATTAGAGGTCTTGGGT